CCGGGTTTGCAGGACTTCATCCCTGGCCCCAAGCAGCGAGGCGCCAACCTCGCACGCACGCCCGCTCAGGACCTGCGCGTGGGCTGGTTTCTCGAGCCGCTTCCCAACGTGGCTCTTCTGAGCAAATAAGTCATAAACAAAGCAACTCACGTGCAATCAAATAGTTTACAGGGCGGAGTGCGGGACTCGGCCTTCTGTCCTACTGGATGACCAGGCTGATATCTCTTCACTTGCCCAAATTTAGGGGAAATTGAGATGCTCAAGAGAAAGTCATTTTCTCAACGTGAAGTTGAAAAAGAGAAGGAAACCTTCTGCAGCAGAGTTTGGTGTGGCTGGTTCGAGGAAGGCCTTTCAAGTCCTCTGGGAAAGCCTGAGACTCCTTTGCAGGAAGATGAACTCTTTCCCGAAGCTCAGGGAAAGAGCGCTTTTAGCGCAGTAGCTGTCGGAGAGTGCGGGATGAGCCTTGGAGGGAGGAGAATTTATAGCAGAGAGCTGAAGGAGGGAACAGGTGGTGGCAGGTGGGCGGGCGTCCCTCGGCTTCTATCTCAGCACCTTCCTACCCTGGGAACTGCGGGGAGGAGGGGGCGACTCACAGCAAAATCCTGACATTACAGCCTTAGTCTGTTGAAGTTTCTCCAAAGCTATGTCCAACACTAACTAACACACCATCTGGAGTGGCCTGGCTGTCCCCAAAAGAATAACAAGGTGGGGGTTGGGGCAGAGCTTGGTCTATCTTTTCCCATATCAGTGGGCAGCTTACGTGTCAAAAACTTAACCGAGGATTTGTAAATTATTAGAAATCATCTGTGTGAAGATGTCGGTTTTGGCATTATGAGCTACATCGGGACTGTAGCATAAGATGATGTAGCTTTGTTGAGAAGTGTGACAATTTTGCATAACGCTGATCTAATATACTGACATTTTAATTTTAGTTATTAAGTAAATTGGAACAAATTAGCAGGTTCCAATATTATTGCAGACATGGAATTTTACTGTGCAAATAATTTGGCTGTTTTCTATGAAAGAATTATTATAACATATCAAAAGATATTAACGTGTGTATAACACTTTATATTATTCTAATTATATAATTGGGTTGCTTGAGTTCAGATACTTAGGCAAATTAATTCAGTATTTATACTTCATTTCCCGTGCCACAGGTTCATAAATGTTTGTGGGAAATGCACTGAGATGTTAACTAATCATTTAATCATTTAACATTTAAATCAAAGAAAACTAATCATAATGCACATTTTTGTGCAAAATGAGAACATCTAAGTAACTTGTGAGGTTTTAAAAAATAGTTCCTAAAGCACAATTTTTGAAAATAGCTTGTATCTTTGAACATTTCAGTTGTGTCAACTGCCCCCTGGAATAATAGCAAAGCATGATTTCTGCTATTGATAATGACGACCTGCTAGTGTATGCTCTAATGTAACTGTTGTGTGCACAGTACTATTTCCTGTTTCTCTTCAAGTTATGCTTTCATTGCCTTTGGTACTCAGGTTACAATCTCAGAATCCTGGGTACTCTGGATAATGAGCCAGAAAACTACCTCCAAATAGGTTCAATCCAGAATCCTTACTGGATTCTTTAGGAAGAGCAAGTATGCTCTTTCTCCTTTTGAGATATGGACATGTCAGCATTATTCTCAAATATGTTTATTTAATTAAAGTATCAACAAACTGTCACAAACCAGGAGTCTTTTAACCGTGACTTGCTTTCCCCACCATTGCTCAGACTATAACCCCATTGTGACTGCCCTGACTCCAAGTCCTGTCTTCCCATAAATAGTTGATTAATCCCCCAGCTGAAGCAATGACAATGAAATGAAGTTGAATGACAGGAAGACAATAGGAAGCAATTGAACATTAATAATCTCCAGCATGACAGATGTTGAACACAGACTTTTGCATGGAGCCACTCAGCTCTGTTACTTTGAGTCATAACAGTCTTGGTTGGGAACAGCAGTCCTGTGACAGAAAAAACTATGTTATATAGTCATCAAAATGTCAAATATATTTTTCTGTGTTTCTGAGGAATTCTGCCCTATTAATGCTGTTGTTCTTCATATTCATTTACTTCATCCCTTTCCTCCAAAGAGCTCCCTCTGTGCTGCTCTGTGGAATGTTTCTCTGCAAAATGGACTGTACATTTGTTCTGGACATTATTGTCCAAAGTGCTAATGAGATGTATGATTTTGCAGGCCACGTACCCAGGATTGATGAGATTGTAGCCCGAGTACCAAAGACAATGAAAGCATAACTTGAAGAGAAACAGGAAATAGTACTGTGCACACAACAGTTGTATTAGAACATAAACTAGCAGATACCTGTGATATGAAGTTGATCCAAGGGTAGAGAGAATTGCTGCAATAAAGGGTTTTAGAGGGCATGTTTAAGACATTTCCCAAATGTATTCTGAAAGACATTATTAGTATGAAAAAGATGCTTCTGGGGGAAAGGGTTCCATTGTCAAATAAATTTGGGAAACATTATCTGCTGTCTTCCTCTTGGAGAGTCATGAAGCAAAATTGGCACAGTAAAGTTTCTGAGAAATCCTAGAGTAAAGAAACCTATTGACTCCAGCATTTCTGAGACCTCCTTGAACACAGAACCCTCTTATCCTAGAAAGATCTATTGACAAAGTTCCTTGGCTGAGTGCAGTGGCTCATGCCTATAATCCTAGCACTTTGGGAGGCCAAGGCAGGAGGATTGCTTCAGCCCAGCCTAGGCAATATAGTGAGACCCTATCTCTGTGAAAAATGTTGTAAAAATGTTAGCCAGGTGTGGTGGCATGCACCTGTAGTCCCAGCTACTTGGGAGGCTGAAGTGTGAGAATCACTTGAGTCTGGGAGATGGAGGCTGCAGTGAGCAGTGATCACCACTGCACTCCAGCCTGGGCAACAAAGTATGACCCTGTCTCAAAACAAAGTTCCTTGGACAGTTTTTCTAACCTGCTCTAGTACATTTAATTTATTTTATTTTATTTTACTTTATGTATTTATTTATGTATTTATTGCGATGGAGTTTCACTCTTTTTGCCCAGGCTGGAGTGCACTGGTGCGATCTCAGCTCACTGCAACCTCCACCTCCCAAGTTCAAGTGATTCTCCTGCCTCAGCCTCCCAAATAGCTGAATTTACAGGCGTGCGCCACCACACCTGGCTAATTTTGTATTTTTAGTAGAGACGGGGTTTCACCATGTTGGCCAGGCTGGTCTCAAACTCTTGACCTCAGGTGATCCACCTGCCTCGGCCTCCCAAAGTGCTGGAATTACAGGCGTGAGCCACCATGCTCGGCCATCATTCATTTTACACAGGAGAAGGAGACCGAAATCTAGAGACTGAACATTGTACTAAAAGGCACTGAGCAATTTAATGATTAGATTAAGGCAAGAAGTCAAATCTCCTGTATACCTTCATTTTAGAGGCTTTAAAATTATAAGATCACTTAATACAAGCCCCTCATTTTGCAATGGGCCAACTGATATCTACCAGTGACTTCCCAGTCAGACAAGTCACTAATAAAATTTTCAGTAATAGGATTAGCAATTTTGGGCATAAAGCACAGTATCAGTTATTTTATAACCCTAGTGTCTAGCACACTAGACACTAGAAAATAAGTAGTCAGTAAATAACCTGGAATGAGTGACTGGAACAATAAACTAGATAAATGATAGATGCTGGCCAGAATGAGCACATTCCTCTTGAATAACCCAGACAATGATTCATGTTCCCTCACCTGTAGGGAACGGGAGCTAACTGCACATTTTGAATGCAGAATGACTTCTTAAAAAACAGGCTGGGTGCAGTGGCCCACACCATCCTTTGAGCACAGGAATTCAAGACCAGCCTATGCAACATGTAAGGCCCTGTCTCTACAGAAATAAAATTAATTAGCTGGGAGTAATGGAGAATCCCTGTAGTACAAGTTACTCGGGAGGCTAAGTAAGGGAGGATAGCTTGAGTGTAGGAGGTCAAGGTCAAGACTGCAGTGAACTATGATTGCACCACTGACTCCAGCCTGGGTGGCAGAGCAAGACCCTGTCTCAAAAAAAAAAAAAAAAAAAAAAATTCCATAGCTTTTTGGGCCAGAAAAATATGTATGTCAGACTAATTTCCACAGTGTTTCCATACTGAATATATGATCCTACCAGTTCAATTGGTGGTTACCATACATCTGGTGGTTGGCCAGAAATCAAAACTGGCAGATGGAGATAAGGAGATGGCAGGAATTGGGGGTAGGCCCAGGGAAGAAGGAGTTTACACATGCAGAAGGAATAGAAAAATAGAAAATATTATTTTAGAGGTAAAAGATCCATGGTTAGAAATTATTACATAAAATGTGTAGAATAGGTTTAAGGGTAAACATTCCTTTATTATCCAAAACTGTGTTTAATTTTTAAGATGAAAGCTCTCAAACACACACACACACAATTAAAAGAAAAGGAAAACACTTGGCAAAAAATATTAATTCTGAAATTTGCAGAGAAAACTATGGATATTGAAGACTGAGACTTCATTATGGAGAGTGTAGCAGTCAGGAGACTCTAGGTCCCCTAGAGACTAAGAGGAAAGCCAACAAAGGACAAAGGAACAATGAAGCTGAGGTCCACTCCTGTTTTATTGAAAACCAAAAGTGCAGTGTGTTAACAGTTCCTGTAGCTTTATTTACTTATTTGTTTATTTATTTAAAGGTGGAATCTGACTCTGTCTTCTGGGCTGGAGTGCAGTGGTATGATCTTGGCTCATGGCAATCTCTGCCTCCTGGGTTCCAGCAGTTCTCCTGCTTCAGCCTCCTGAGTAGCTGGGGTTACATGCGTGCTCTACCACACCCAGCTAATTTTTGTATTTTTAGTAGAGATGGGGTTTTACCATGTTGACCAGGCTGGTCTCAAACTCCTGACTTCAGTGATCTGCCCGCCTCAGCCACCCAAAGTTCTGAGATTACAGGCATGAGCCACTGTGCCCAGCCAAGTTCCTGTAGCTTTATAATGTCCTGCGTAGTTACTAGGAGGAGAAAAACCCACAAAAGGATTGAAGGACTGATATGCTTAGAGAGAGGAAGGGAGAGGCCAAATCTTGTACCTCTGCTCCCTGCCACTCAAAGGTCCAGGGAAGAGAAAAGCCAGTGAAGGACAGAAAGAAGGGACAGGGACTAATCATGAGGTCAAGAGAAAGATGACAGCAATGGGGGGCCCTGTCCCAGGTCTCCGCAGTGATCAATCACCAGAAAAATCCAAGCTCACCAAAGGACCCCAGCAGGTTCTCCAGCTTCCAGTCACTTGGCACACTGCTGGAGAATTCTGGCTAGGCACTTTGATTTAGACACTAGTTGCCATGAGCCAGACCGACTTGCACAGTTTGCCCTCTGCCTTCACTCTTCTTGCTAGTGGATCTTAGAGTCCTGTTGGCACTGTGGCTAAACATAACACCATCTTTGGAGTCCATTTTGAATCCTGGACCCCCCAGCAACTAGCTGAGCTGTATGCTCTTACACAAGTCACTTCTCCTGTTTCTCCACCTGCAAGGTAGGAGTCATAATACCTACCTCATAGGGGAGATCGCATTAAATAAGACTGGGCCTGCAAAGGACCCTGCCTGGTCCCTAAGAAAGTCACCTTTTAAATGACAGTGAGGATTACATATTATGAATGTTTTTTAAAAAAAAAAAAAAGAAAAGATAATAAAAATGAACTTGGCATCAGTTTCTGAAGATTTTGAATTAAATGAATAATTTTTGAAACTTTTATACATCGAACTATAAAGTCATGATATGAATCTCGGTTGTATGATCTTGGCCAACTTAACTTCTCTGTGCCTCTCATGTTATATGTCAAAGAGGAATAGTAAAAGTATAAGCAATCTCATACGATAGGATTAAATTAGTTTCTCTTTGTAAAGCACTTAGATCTATGCCTGGCATACAATTAAATGTAATATAGCTGCTTGCTTAAATAAACAAAATAACCTGCTGCAATTTTCCAGGATATGGAATAGCCACCCACTCCTGCTCATTTTTGCTTCAATTTTCTGCTCTTGAATGCTGGTACCTTAAGGAGAACAGGGACAGGGAGAGAAGGGAAAATTCAAATAAGTTCATTTTGCCTTTGATATTGGAGCAATCTGGTTTGAAATGTCAGAGACTGGCCAGGTGCCGTGGCTCACGCCTATAATCCAAGCACTTTGGGAGGCTGATACGGGTAGATCACCTGAGGTCAGGAGTTCGAGACCAGCCTGGCCAACATGGCGAAACCCTGTCTCTACAAAAAAACTACAAAAATTAACGGGGCATGGTGGCACAGGCCTGTAGTCCCCACTACTCGGGAGGCTGAGGCGGGAGAATCGCATGAACCTGGAAAGCAGAGGTTGCAGTGAGCCGAGATCATGCCACTGCACTCCAGTCTGGGCGACAGAGCACGATTCCATCTCAAAAAAAAAAAAAAAAAGTTAGTGACAGAAGCCAAAAGGCTGCTCAGGGAAAGCCTTACTTGTTAGTAAGTTTAGTGATTTCGTTAGAGTTTGAGGTTCAGTTTTACAGTTGTAGACATATATTTAAAAGTGTTCATTTTCAGGGGATGCTCTAATTGTCCAGTGACTGAAATATCTGCATTTACCATCCAGGCCCCTTCCTTCTTGGTACTGAGGTATTTGAGAAGACAAATTGACAATCATGATGTTGCTTTATGCATATAGAACCAGAACAAAGGGAATGGGTCTTAAGGATGTGCTAAGCTTTTTGTGACATACTTAGGCTGAAAGCTGCATTTCTCAGAATCCTTTTCCCTGTGTGGCTCCAGATTTGAGTTGGGCAAACGAGCAGTTGCATGAGCTATGGGAGGCATAAGTAAAGTCACCAAACTCTGGAGATGACAGCAGGTTGAGGGACAGGAGAGACAGACACAGAGATGCAGATGGAGCCGTTTGTGCTTATCTTCTCTTATTCCACATCCAGCACACACCCTCTCGACTGTTGGCCCTGCTGAGCAACAGCAGCCCCAGGCCCGCCACCAGATGCTTCATGTGAACTCAAGGAGGTGGCAGCCACAGAGCACCTGACTTCTCTGTCACCTCCCTGCCCTTGCTTCAGCAGCTGGACATCCCTGGCTTCCGGAGTCCTTGCATGCTCGGATTCATTCACCCAAGCCAGTGCTGCTTAGGGACTCTCATCCAATCCTCCAACAACTTCTTTTTTTGTTTGTTTGTTGTTGTTGTTGTTGTTGTTGTTGTTGTTTTTGGAGATGGAGACTTGCTGTCGCCCAGGCTGGAGTGCAGTGGTGCGATCTCGGCTCACAGCAACCTCCACTTCCGAGTTCAAGCAACTCTCCTGTCTCAGCCTCCCGAGTAACTGGAATTACAAGCGTGCACCACCACGTCCAGCTAATTTTTGTGTTTTTAGTAGAGATGGAGTTTCACTATGTTGGCCAGGCTGGTCTCTAACTCCTGACCTCAGATGTTCCGCCCAACTGGGCCTCCAAAAGTGCTGGGATTACAGGCGTGAGCCACTGTGCCCGGCCAGCAACTTCTTTTTTGGACCTTTATGTCCCTAGCTCCTCTCCCAATTGTGTAAGGCCTTGTCCTTCTAAGAAATTCCTTCTTCCATTATGCTCAGAGTAGCTCTGCTTTCCTGACTGGACCCTGACTGGAGCAAGGGATATTTCATCGAGACCACAGTAAGGCCACAAGACCTATCCCTACTTCCCAGTGGAGAGAAACCCTCTGCACAGTGTCCATGTGTCCACTAGGATTCGAGACTTTGTCTCTTGGACAGGGATTACTATTTCTATCTGTTCAGACCTGTGCCAGGCAACATCAGTGATAAGACAGCCTTTAGCCTATTGGAATTCACAATCTAATTCTGCAGGTAAGACCCATTTAACAGATATTAAAATCCTACCCTGAGCAGTAAACCAGGGTCTTGCTCCTCAACAGGTGCATAAGACAACCCATTAGAGTATGGGAAAATAATATAAATGTTACTGATATTTGTTTTACATCATTCTTTTAATTTCTGTCTTGGGGTAGAGGGACCCCACACACAGGGAGAGAGTAGACATTGCCTCTCCCAGCCCCCAGCAACACAGCTCTTTTTCCTTTTGCTAACGGCCCCTTTCGAGAGAGATCATGCCCTCCAAAAGCAATGGCAACAGACCTGCTGCTTTGTTTCTGCTCTGAAATGGTGGCATTTGCTATTTCACAGTGAGCAGGTGGCTTTCTTCCCCAAAGGATGGCTCTCATACATCCAGGTTTCAGGCGGTACCTGAGTCAGCTCAGAGTTAAAGCCCAGAGGCTTTGCTTGCCCAGGCCAGCCGCTGATGTCGGCTCCCTGCCCCATGGGAAGTGGTTTTCTGTTTATTTTAGTTGGTTTAGCCTTTTTTGTTTCCTTGTGCAATTTCAGCAGCTTGGCTAAACAAGTTATTCTAAGTGTCCAGACACCCAGGTCTTCTGATTCTGAGGTTGTATTCCCATCGCTCCTTATCATTGTTTTTGACTCTTACTTCTTGGCTGTGCGCCTGCCTCCTACTGACCTCCACTGAGAGGGAAGCAAAAAGACACCATGGCTAGCTGGCCAGACATCTGTCCCAATCAGATTCCTAGGCGATCGTTAAGTAGAACCGCAAACTGGAAGCCATATGAGTGTATAGTCTTTTCTATTCCTGTGGTAACTATATACCAACTTGTTTCATTGTTTCAAACTGATTTTCATTTGTTCATTTATTCAACAAATTTTTAATCTTATTTTATTTTATTTTATTTTTTGAGACAGGGTTTTACTGTCACCCAGGCTGGAGTACAGTGGCACATCATGGCTCACTGCAGCCTCAACTTCCCTGGGCTCAGGTGATCCTCTCACTTCAGCCTCCAGAATAGCTGAGACAACAGGCACGTGCCCACCATGCCCAGCTAATTTTTTCTTTTTTTTGAGACGGGGTTTCACCATGTTGCCCAGGCTGGTTTCGAACTCCTGAGCTCAGGCAATCCGCCTGCCTCAGCCTCCCAAAGTGTTGGGATTACAGGCGTGTGCCACTGTGCCAGGTTTGACAAATATTTATTGTACTTACTATGCACCAGGGATTGTTTTAGGCCCTAGAGATAGTGCTAAACAAACTGCAAAAATCTCTCCCCTCATGAATATTTAAAACTGGTATTGTTGATATCTTCTTATATGTTTATTCCCTGCTTCTCCCAATAGACTAGAAATTCTCTGAGAGAAGGGACAAATTTTCGATGTCTGGTTCTTGCTAGAATGTTCAATAAATACATATTTGCTGCTTGGCTGACTGAAGTTCTTACTTATTCAGGCTGACCTTAAACTTAAAAAAAAATAATGGTGTTATCATCACCACAACAATATTTGCACTTTCAGGAAATACTAAAGGCTCACCCAGTATTAACTCCAATTCTCATAACCGTCTTTGAGTGAGGACAGTTGTAATCCCATTTCGTGGCCAAGAAAACCAAGGCCCTAGTTAAACTGAGCAACACAGCAGCCAGATTTGAACCCAGCTCTCTTTCTCCACAGAGCTGATGCTCTGTGCTGCACTGGCCCTTGTCTCTAAGAGCTTCGGTGGCGGGAACATGGCCTTCTTCTTCACTGTGCACCCAACCCAGTTCCTAGAAAAGGAGCTGGGACCCGGTTGCGCTCATTAAATATGCTGAGATTTGTAAGCAGTCGCTGTGTCAGGCCCAGCTGGTCCCCATTCTGCTAAACTGTAGGCACAGGATCTAGCAATCTGCAGGCACAGATGAGCCTCATTCTGTGAACCAAGTCCAAGGGTTCCTTGGAGCCCCATTTCCCACTAGGTGTTGTCTGATGTACCTGGGAGTGAGCCGAAGGCTCCTGAAGATGCATAAACCTCACCTTCTTCTTTGGACCTTCCTGCAAAACTCCTTCCCCCATAGGCCCTCCTCCTTGGGTTCCCAAAGTTCCCATCAGCTTGGGTAATTGGGGTCCCTCATCCACCATGAGATCTCTCCTCTGAGGACCTGGACTCTTGCTCTTCTCTCAGCAGAGGACTAGGGGCCTGCCTAACCCACACACACCTACCTTCCCAGCCCCAGCACCCACCACTGGATTACTCCCACACTGCACCCTACCTGGAGCCTCTGCATCTCTTCACAGAAAATCAAATCTTTGCACATTGGTGCCAAAATAGAGTCTCAGTTTGCCTTGTCCCTCTGCCACTGAGCATCTGACTATCCTTCTCACAGGCCCATTTTACCCCCGAGTCAGTTCCTCCAGCCCTGGCTGCCATTATTTGCATGTTCACCTCCCTGGGACTGCCTGCTCTTGAGGCTTTGGTGGACCAGGGGTGGACCTGAGCACCCAGCACTTTGACAGTCATGACATCCCTGCTGACTGCAGTGCTCAGGTGACAAGTGACACTCATGACCTTTCTTTTCAGCACATGTGTCCTGTTCCCTAGTGGCTACTCCCAATTGCCATAAAATTTGTCACTCTAGGTCACTTGATTCACTTTAGCAAGCTTGCTTTGCTACTATCCGAGGAACACTGAATTGGGTCCCAGGTAACACTGGTTCCATGCCTCCATGCTCCTTGGTGGCACGCATGACTCAGGTAAGTCATCTAGGACAGAAGCCAAAGTTGGCTTATGTGCTTAACCACTTCAGGCTAAGAAACGCTCCTGTAAGTTTTCTGCAGAAGCCCATTAAAAGAACCTCTTACTGACAGGATCCCCAACATGTCCCCAGAATCAAGTGGTTCAGAGTAATTCCAGAGTGCTGACTCAAACCCCAGTCCCTCCTTTTTCCCATTGCTCACTTTATCCAGCTCGGCTTTGTTGGTCCTCCAAAGTGTGTTTCCCAAATTGTGTCCTGAAACTGCTACCCTTCAACTAAGAAAAGAAAATTCTGGCTTAGACAAAGCTATACTGTCATCTTTTGGTTCCTGTTGGGATTGACTTCAGGACCTTCTTTGGACACCAAAATTTATGGATGCTCAAGCTCCTGATATAAAATGATGTTGTATTTGCATATAACCTATGCACATCCTCCCATATGCCTTAAATCATCCACAGATTACTTGTGAGAGTTAACACAAAGTAAATGCTATGGAAATTATTGTTGTACCATATTGTTTAGGGAATAATGACAAGAAAAAAGTCTGTGCATGTTGACTACAGACACAATTTTTTTTCTCAAAAAAAAATTTTTTTTTTTTAAGATGGAGTCTCGCTTCTGTCAGGCAGGATGGAGTTCAGTGGTGCAATCTCGGTTCACTGCAACCTCTGCCTCCTGGGTTCAAGCGATTCTCCTTCCTCAGCCTCCCGAGTAGCTGGGATTATAGGCACGCGCCACCACACCCAGAAAATTTTTGTATTTTTAGTAGATACGGGGTTTCACCATGTTGGCCAGGCTGGTCTCGAACTCCTGACCTCAGGTGATCCACCCGCCTTGGCCTCGCAAAGTGCTAGGATTACAGGCATGAGTCACCGCACCCGGACTTCTCAAATATTTTTGATCCACAGTTGATTGAATCCATGGATGTAAAATCCATGGATAGGGAGAGCCAACTCAATGACTGTTTTTGTTTTTTCTTAACTGCAGGACTTTTTAGAGCCTTTACTATGATTATGGTTTTTCTCAAAACCATATATATAGGTAAACCTGCATATTTTGTGTGCCAGGTTTGAAGAAGTGGATAGTTGTGGAGAAGTGTGATTGCACAAAGGGGGTATGATCTAATGGTGATAAACTGGGGGAACTTAGCAAGGCCTGTTTGTTCAGATTCTTCCTTGTGTCTTCAAAGAAAAGGATATTCCTTTCCTCCAGGTATAAGGGGGTCACCTCTCTTTTTTTGAGATGGAGTCTCACTCTGTCGCCCAGGCTAGAGTGCAGTGGCCCGATCCTGGCTCACTACAACCATCACCTCCCAGGTTCAAGTGATTCCCCCACCTCAGCCTCCCGAGTAGCTGGGACCACACGTGTGCACCACCAAGTCTGGCTAACTTTTTTGTATTTTTAGTAGAGATGGGGTTTTACCATGTTGGCCAGGCTGGCCTCGAACTCCCGACCTCAGGTGGCCTGCCCACCAGTCATTTGACCTGCTTCAGGGGAGAAGGGCAGGGAAAAGGTGAGAGTGACCTTCCTGCTTCTGCTGTTTTCTCAATTATTTTGGGAATCGTGCCCTGAATCCAGTCTGCAGCCAGCCTAGAATTTGGCTGTGTATACAGGAACCCAGGAAATGAAGGAAGTGCCAACAGAGAGATGGGAAGTGGTGGCAGGGTCAGATTCAAACTCTGGCCTACCCCATAGTGTATTACCCAAGGCCTGGTGGTACGCACATGTCGATGAATAACCTGCCTCCGCTATGTGAATGCTTCTAACTGTTGTTCAGTTAACCCACTAAAAAGAAAAACAGAATCAGACATCATGTGCCTCACAATGGAAAAACACAGCATCTAGTATACTTACTAAAAAATCGAACCTGAATTTCATTAGGTCTCCATATCTAATGATTAATTTGTATGAAATTCAGGGGAGAGAGAATTATGTTAAGAGAGCCCATGGGGAGGCAATTAGCAAAATCCAGAATTAAGAAACTGAATAAGACAATTGATTGGTTTCTCCAACAAATATACTGCATTTTTTTTAAAGGAGGGAAATGTGTAGAATTAGAATAAGAGACTAGAACCATATCAACCAAATGCAATGTGTGAGTCTTGTTTGATCCTGATTCAAATAAACCAACTCTAAAAATATTTTTGAGGCTATCAGGGAGATTTAAGCCCTGACTAAATAGCTGGTAATAATAAAGAATTATTGGCTGGGCACAGTGGCTCATGCCTATAATCCCAGCACTTAGGGAGAACAAGGCAGGAGGATCACCTGAAGTCAGGAGTTCAAGACCTGTCTGGCCAACATAGTGAAGCCCTGTCTCTACTAAAAATACAAAAGTTAACTGGGTGTGATGGCACACATCTGTAGTCCCAGCTAGTCAGGAGGTTGAGGCAGGAGGATCATTTGAACCCAGGAGGCAGAGGTTGCAGTGAGCCAAGATCATGCCATTGCACTCCAGCCTGGGTAACAGAGCAAGACTCTATCTTAAAAAAAAAAAAAAAAAAGATTTATTAGGTTGCACATCGTGGTTCACACCTGTCACACCTGTAATCACAGCATTTTGGGAGGCTGGGGCAGGAGGATCACTTGAAGCCAGGAGTTCGAGGCCAATCTGGGCAACATAGCAAGACCCTGATGCTACAAAAAAATTTAAATATTAGCCAGGTGAGGTTGCATGCACCTGTAGTCCCAGATACTTGGGAGGCTGAGGCAGGAGGATTGCTTCAACGCAAGAGGTCAAACTTACAGTGAGCT